ATCAGTGTTTACTCTCTCTTGCAGTAATACAAATGATGAAGAGCAGTCGCTTTTATTTCGATGCAGAGCCTTTTCAAGTGTAACTCTATGGAAAGAATCTCCATAATTTACCATGCTGGAGTGGGCCTTTCTCATTGTTTCCTTTCCCCCTTTCCCCCTTGCCTATACAGTACATCTAAGTCTGATCAGCATGCCATGCTTAGCCACATCTGGTTTGATAATAAACTCTGCAACTTGTTGTGCAGAATACTCGATGCACATGCGACAGTTGTCTTTAATCATTATCACTGTGCCTCTGTCGGTGTAAAACTGGATCTTGGACATGATTTTCGACTGCAATTTCAGGATTGCTGGCAGACACTTACTTGTGTGTAGGCGTGTAAGAGTTTTTTTGCTTGTAATTTTATAGTGTGCACCAATATCTTTTCTTGTAAGGCATCGCCTATGAGGCAACATTTCATGCACTAGCGGTCGGGGCAAAAAAAGTTTGCTAACAGGTTTCTTAGCATTATTACACATAAATATAGGCCTCATGAAGTACTAAAGAGGTCACTGCTACACAATCAAACACAACTACAAGATATGAAGTAAAAACCCTTCGTATGTGTTAGGCACCAATAATGTTTTCACAGCTTTATTGTTGCATTTTAGTTCTGGTCTGGAAACATGGAAAGGACAGTTTGGCAATTGTCATCCTGCATCATTGGGACCAACATGGGGATTTTTTATTTTTTAAATGTTGAAGCCCTCCCTTGTAAATATCCCTGTGTATAAATGTAGATCTAATGCCTATTTATATGGCAGTTGATGACGTTCTTGCAGAAATTCATATATATTTCATGTAATGAACACATACAGTTTACTGGGCTCTGCATGGTTTACATGATACAAACACTATGCACAGGCAATGGGAGGAGAGGGGGATCAATGGGGGCCCCCGGGTCATTTTTGCCCTGGAGCGCCCCAGCAGGTTAATCCCTCCCTGATTGGGGGGGAGTTCAGGGATTGTCACCTCGGCTAACACGCGTTGCTGCAGTATCAGATGTGCCTGGCCCACTGATACACGATGACAAACATGCTATAATTGACATTCAGCGCTCTGATGCGATGGCTATGAAACAGTCTCTATATTAGAAAGTCATTCTACAGAATACTTTTAGATAATACTTGTCAGAAAATAAGCCAAGTGTTAGCTGCATGGGTATTTCCATGTTCAACAAGCCAAAGAAAAACTTGGTTGCATTTAATTTAAAATAGCCTCCAGTTCACGTGTAGCTCTGCTGCCTCTGCATTGAGAAGGCTGCAGATTCAAGGAGGCGGAAAAAGCGAATGAGCAAAAGACGAAAAGGGCAAAATGGAAATGTGGTGTTTTCTCTTTTCTGTTTTTCCCCTTTAAGCTTCTGTCGAGGGCTGAGCGCTTTCATAAAGAATTTACCATCCGGGCTATTTTTAAACCATGCAGTGAGAACTCCTACACTGAACGAATGTGTGAGAGAGCAATGGCGGAGAGTCAGGCTCAGTGAAGATGAAGTAGATTTTTGTGGAAACTGAAGTCATAAACTTTCATTGCCATATTAAACAGACGGGTGCAAAGCCCTTGCCATACCGTAATGCTAGTTTATACACGTATCAATAAAAGCATACCAGGAAGAGAAGTCTGCTTATTGAAATCTGCTTGTGATAGCCTTCTTCTCTTGATGGCAACCTTGATGGCTCCAAAATTGATTTATTGGTCCACTATTTCTGCTGTATTTGCATGTCCATGGTATTTGCATGAGGTCCATTCATTCACAAATGCTGTAAACTGTCGCATAAATAACAGCTTTAGAAACTATTTGAGCCTGTTGGTGTACACTCACATTGTGTAAGTAAGTATGTGGTTGATAGGACATAATATGGTGTGAAGAGTATATTATTCATACAGTGAAGACCACCCATATCCTTTTAGTGGCATTGAGGAAATCCTCCAGGGTGTCTCGGCCTATTCATTGCTTTGCTCCTGTTGTAGTGGGTGTCATTCACCACTGTCCATACACACAGTGTCTGCTCCATTGAAGGAGTGAGGGCACTGCTGGGGCAGCTCTTGGTGCACAAACAAAACACACACATTGCACAGGCGCCATTGTTCTTCACGGACAAGAGGTTTCTTTTGTCGAGGCACAAGAGCAACCGATGTCAGGATGAGGATATGATGGCGGACCCTTCTGCCTCCTCTGTCCTCTCACCACCTGTACATTTAAGGAAGATTTCTTAAGAAAAGAAAATAGATGAAATCAATGGTTGTTGGTCTTGGATTTTTTCCTTTGTTGATGTTGGTGTCATCTGCGGTGGTAGAGGTACTTTTCAAAGATAGCTTCTCAATCTCATCCTGTATTTTATGTTTTTCCAAGTAAGTCTTCAGTATGAGAAAAAATACATGCAAGAAATGTCTTAGGTGGCACCCCTCTGTTTGGCCATGGTGGCTGTTGTTGCTTATGTATCTCTTCCTGTATTTAATCCAAACAAATCAAGGCAGCTGGAAACATGAATTAGACCCTCCAGAAAAACGCGGGCAAAAATCCTTGATTATGCGGGCTAAATTCCTTGATTATGCGGGCTAAAATCCTTGATTATGCGATTAAACATGCGGGGTTTTATGTGATTTTATGCGGTGAAATTGCGGGAAGTTACAAATATGCGGGGGAAAAGAATAACAATTTTTTTAAATATTGGGCTGTCTTATTTATTCTCTCTCACACACAACCTACCACTAACGTTAAACCCCTTTACTATTCAATTAAACACNTCCAGAAAAACGCGGGCAAAAATCCTTGATTATGCGGGCTAAATTCCTTGATTATGCGGGCTAAAATCCTTGATTATGCGATTAAACATGCGGGGTTTTATGTGATTTTATGCGGTGAAATTGCGGGAAGTTACAAATATGCGGGGGAAAAGAATAACAATTTTTTTAAATATTGGGCTGTCTTATTTATTCTCTCTCACACACAACCTACCACTAACGTTAAACCCCTTTACTATTCAATTAAACACATTCAATGTTTATTTCACATGCTTCACTCTATATCGGAGGTGGTTTTGTTAATTCTGTGATGCCGCGAGCCTGATGACGCTCACGTCGACGAGTCTAGCTTCTTTTTTCTCGGACTTTGTGGAATAATGCGCGGATTATGCCCACCGCTTCTTGATAAATCACTGCGGCTATTAAAAATCTGCGCCCCCCATTCTTGCTGATTATGCGCGTCAACTTCTGATCAACTCCCGCAGATCGCGTTCTTCTCGCGAGGGGTCCTACCTAGACTCCTGGTACTAGCGATCGGGCTCTAACATGAGAGGCATATTCTCACTGTATGTGCTTGTGTCCCTGCATGCTGATCATCAAGAGGCGTCACTTCATCCCCCCATACATTTCAACCATACATAAACCATATGTATGAAAGCTATATTTATAGGATTGCTTTTTATATATTTTTTCTCATAAACATATAATAGGACAGCACAACAATTCAAATGAAAGATTTACAGGTTTCCCACCTTAAGAGGATACCGCCCACTATACATGAACCTTACTATCACTACTACTGACACAAGTCCATATCATACGTACCTTCGAATCGCCTCTCACAGAGGCAGATGTACTCGTTAACTTCTCGCGCGCTCTCGCTTTTTCTCAATTTCAGTTAGTAATTCTGCTCTAGTAATTAGTTTCTCCCATCTTCACGCTGGACTTTCTATACTTTGGAACCTAAGAGCCTCTCACCTAAACAGATGAGCGATACATACTTAGAGAAGAGCTGAGCTTGCTTGGCCGTAAATACTAGCCAACTGGTTTTCTTAGCGGCAGATCGAAACTCGACTTTTCATCTGTCAGCTTTTCGTACCACTCTCCAATCTCATCTCTCATCGACTCCTCCGCAGCCACTGCACACTGCTCCAGTCTTTTCTTGTGGGGCAGTTGTTCACATCACGCAGACAGACCGATCCAACCTGACCAGGAACACGATCCACGAGTGCGCGTGTACCGCCGCATATCCAGCCGACGACACTCAGTGCCTCGCCATCTTGGCTCTCTCTTGGACCCATCTCTGCTGGTGAGTTTCAGTGATGGGAGGACCAGGACTGGTGGTTCTCTGCAGTAAGCAGGGCCTCATTCCCAGTCT